AATTTAGAAGTTATAAACGTTGGAAGAGTATAGGAGCTTGATTCTGGAAATGCTAGAATATTTTGGTCCTTTGCCAATCTTTTAATATTAAATGCACTACAGTTTGGGGATAAAATATTTTTTATGAAGCAACCTCTTTGCTATTTTGTGTATGACGATCATCTTAGTCCTGTGTGTAGATTTTCATGATGCATTCGAATTTTGTAGAGATTTGACAAAAAACTTGTATCTGACTTCAATTATCTGCTAGGGAAAGTGAGCCTCTTGTGTGTTTCAGGAAGACTTTGGATTGCTATCAAGATTTGTCCTAACCATAAACTGCTAGGTTACCAAAAAACTCAGCTTGGAGAACGGTTCAATCTCAAGGTTAGGAAATGATCACAAGTACCAGTGACTACCTTTAATCATAGCTTAGTTTGCCAAGGAGAATTTCCTTGGTACTATGTCTTCTGTACTGAATTATAGAAGATTATAGTTGGGATTTTTTTGTTTTTTTGTTTTTTGTTTAGGAAAGTCTTATTGTTATTTCCCAGCATAAAATGTTATTATCTACCTGATAAGTATTGTCTGAAAGAAAATACAAATGCTGTGTTGCAACAATTTTGTTTTTTTCATTAGCTCTGGTGTCATTAGACACATTAGGCTTAGTTCTGTTAACTTTAAAAAAAAAAAAAAAAGAAGAAGCCAACCCTGTTTATAATTCTGGAAATGAGGTTTTGTGGAATGATATGAATTATGGTTATGTGCAGACACTTGGAATAAGATTGTTTCCGAGGAGCTGAAGGAAAAGTTGCAATATTTGAAGTTTATAAAAAGCTTCAGTTTGGAATGAAAACAGTCCTCTCCCTGCCTCCTACCCTCCCCCTTGGTCTCCTCTTGGCGCTGGGAGAATCCTTGTGCTGATGGAAGTGGGAAAGAGGAGCAGCTGGTGGTGCCAGGGAAGCCTAGCAGATGCAGTGTGAAGAACTTGCTCCTCTTTAATTAAAGTGGGGATTAGAATCAGCTTCTGGATGCCTCCAAAACCACCTTTTCCCTCTATCAGAAACAAATCTCTCCCCTTATCCTCAGACACCCAGGACAGCTGAGATTTCTAAAATTCTTAGATAAGTTTATTCTAACTTCTGCTTCTTTCCTGATATTCCTTGTCGAAATAGTCTTGCTCGGTCTTCAAATACCTCTTTGCTCAAATTGCCATTTTCTGAATCAGAGAATTCCTTGGATCACTGCTGAATAGCTGGTTAAATTGCTCATTATGCACAATTTTCTGGTAAACACTTTTTATATTTGGGAACCATTCCTGATTTCTGAGACTGCCCAGATATTTTTAGATACTTCACAAACAGTAGCTGTAGGTGTTCACTTGTTTTCCATTTTGGCTATTTCCAATTCATCCTTGGTTCTTAGTGTACAGTATTGGTCTCCTAAGACATATGATGTTTACCCCCCTCTCCTCTTGATTAGATCATTGAAGCTTTTTTAAAGAGGGAAATAATTAATAGTTCTTGGTGAATAATCAAATGAAAAGGCAATTAATGAATAATGCACACCCTGCACAAATTTTCAGACATTAATCATCTGTTAATTTTCTGCAATCTTTTGAATTCAGATTTTTTTTTCATTCATAAAACTGATGGTCACATGTATGCAGGGCATGAATGAGAGCAGAGAAAAAACAGGTTATTTGTTACAGAAAAAAAAAAAAGCAAACCAGCCCCAAATCACACAAGTTTTCAGTTATTCCAGCTCTTCTCTCTAGGCTTTGGTGACTCAGTTCTTCTATTCTCATCATCACCTACAACGAGAGATGTTTTACAACGTGTTGTGGGTATTTCTGTGTGCTGTACCCAAGCTCCAGGAACTCTGTGGTTACTGGGAAATCTGGGAAACAGCAATGGGCTGAGAGCTCCCTGGGAGCCTCTGGCTGTGCCTTTGGCTAGCAGTCATCTCCTTTGATGGATCACTGTTTTTGGTGGACTCTGGGTCTCTGCTTTGGGACACACACAGTCTTGGTGGTTGTTTTTTATTTGCTTTTAATTTCCTCTGATGTGCAGCAAGTTGGAGAACTGGAAAGGCTTAAGAATCTCTCTTTGGCAAATGATGCCACACGACATTTTTCATAATTAGCCTTGCAGGATCAGAAGGGTTTAACTTTGCTTGCTTGGCTCCACCTGGTCTCTCCCAGCTGCTCTCCTCAGGACTCCTTTTAACCAGTGTGGGACAACTCTAACTGGGCTGGAAGGCTGAAATTCGTCCTGTCAGCCATGGCTGGCTGAAATATCATTGAATTTAGTGATGTGGCCACCAAGGGGCCACAATCTCTGCCCAGCTCCTGGTGCTGTGTGTACACATAAAAAATCACAGCCTCCAAATGGCTGAAATCACCATTCTGCTGAAAAATGATCTCCAGGTAGAAAAGATGGGAAATACTGACTGAAAGAGTCCTACCCCAGTTCTGCACATCCTTCAGGCACTCAGTGCACAGCCCTGAGCCCTCAAACCAGGGCAAACCTAATTTTTCAAATTCTCAGCCTCTGAATTCACAGCTTCATGCTGCTAAAGCCACCTCTGCATCTGAGGACCAGAGTTTAGGCTTAGGCATCCAAATCATCCCAAAACTCTGATTTCTGGGTGCTTTAATAGACCTGAGTCCATGTGTCGTGTTTGGGATGAAAGATGCACTTTTCAATGATTTTATGAAAAATGCATTTCAAAACTTCAAAATCCAAATAAAATATATTCTGGGGCCTTATTAGTTGTGACTACTGCACTGAGCTTTGTACATAGATTATAGGGAATTATGAACAAAAAATTTAGAGGGTTTTATTTATCAAGCTTATCTAAATTAGCAATATTTTATTAATATAATAAAAATATAATGTACAAGTAGATGAAGTTTGTTAAGTTAAAAATTTATCTTAGCATTGATAATGCTTTTCAGTCATTCACTTCTGGTGGCATCAAGTTAAATGTGTATTTATCTGAGTGTGTGTACATATATGTAAATCACACACATATGAATTTTTTTTTTTTTTTTAGCTACTTTAGTTTTAATTCATAACTACTGAGCTACAGTTTATTATAAGGTTACTCAAGACAAACTGTTCCATTTCCTCCATTATCCAAACAGGATGGTTTATGGTCAGCCTGGTCAGGATCAAATTCAAATGGCCTCAGAGTTCAAAGGGATGGTGATGACTAGAGCAAACCATTTTTGTAATCTGTAAATTCCATTTCTAAAAAAAAAAAAAAAAGAAAAGGAAAATGAAATTGGCTGCAGCTTGTAATGGCTATGGCAAGATTTTGCAAGGTCAAGAGAAAAGAGAGTGCTGTGTGTTTTGACTCTAACTCAGGACAGACTGCATATTTGTGAATGGGTTCACGCTATGCTGTTTGGAATGTTTAGAATTTAGGGATTTTTTTCCCCCTTCTTATGGATTAATTTGTGTGTGTGTAGCTGAGACACTGCAGGCAGGGTGCAAAAGCCCTGATTTAAATCCCAGCAGAGTAATCTGAGGTCTTTCCAAATTATTTCCAAACTGGATGAGGGAGGCAGGAGAAGGAGCTGTAACAATGATTTTCTGGTTGGGCTCTTTGGTGAACATGCCCTTGCTGAGGAGCTGTGCCTGGGCAGGGCACCAGTGACCACTCCAGCACCAGGAACCAGGATTTGGGACTTCTGTGCCTGTTCTGGTAGGAACTATTTAGTCTGTATTGGTGTGTGCAGGCAAATGCAAATGTATAAGTTATTAAAATCTGCTTTTAAATGGCTTTTTTTACAGACCCTTCTTCACACCCCTACCCCACAGTCTTGCAGATTGTCTGTTCCCATTCTCCCCCTCCCAAACCATTCCCATTCATTCACACTTTTTTTTTTTTTTTTTCCCTAGAAAATGTGGGCATGGAGTGATAGGGCAATGTGAAATGGATTTGAGCTGACAGAGGACAGGGTTCAGGTTGGATATATGGGAGAAATTCTTCCCTGTGAGGGTGGGCAGGCTCTGGCACAGGGTGCCCAGAGAAGCTGTGGCTGCCCCTGGATCCCTGGAAGTGTCCAAGGCCAAGCTGGATAGGGCTTGGAGCAGCCTGGGATAGTGGAAGGTGTCCCTGGGCATAGCAGGGGGTGGGATGAGGTGAACTTCAAGGTCCTTTCCAACCCAAACCATTCCAATTTTTATGACAACCAGGTCTCCACGGCTCTTAAAACCATCCCCATGGACATGGAGGAGAGTTCTCTTTGCATTGCTTTCGACCACAGGAATTCAAAATAGAGTTTTTTAATATATATGTGAATCAACACAGAGGCCAAAAGTTTGAGTCCCACAGCAGGACCTGAGCCTTTGAGGCACTGTGCAAATACAGAGCTGGAAATGTTCTGTATAGAGCAACAGACTGAAGTTTGGCAGAGACAGAGAGGTAAAAAGATGGAAAGTGAATATGGGAATCTCCTGCTCATTGTGATAAAGCACAGAACAAAAATAATTCAAGAGCTGCAATTCCTTTTTCTGTCTTTATTTTTTTTTTTCTTTTTTGGAAAAGGAGCATGGAGAGTGAACATTTTGAACACAGCCTCCCAGAACTTGCTCTTGTCTCACTTGAGCCACCTCCCTTCCTCTGTGTGTGTAGTTTATAGGAGCATCCCTTTTGAACTTGTCATGTTGATGGATGATTCCTGTTGTGTCCTATCAGATTGTACTGGGTATGTTGATATAAAATATTCTCCTGAAAGCAAATTGGAAATCTTCTTAAGGTGGTACTCACTCAGAGATTTTCTAAAACTTGAACAATTCAGTCAGCTGTGATATTCAATGATCTTAAACATCTTTAGCACGACCTGATTTATGAACTTAGCACCATTTATAATAATGGTCTACAAACCTGCAAAATTAGAGAAGCTTTGCATGGCTAATATTGTTAGAAATAATGAAAATGTATTTCTATAAACAGTTTGACTAATTTCAGGTTTGCTTAGAAGCTTTATAAATAACTGAAAGAATAAAAACTTCTTGAAAAATTGCCTTTAACTATGAAACATTAGACTGTAGTTGAAAGATGTTTCTGAGATTTCCAGGACCTTGCTGTAACTATAACTGTAACTTTGTTTAGCTAAAACCATTTTTTTTTCTTTAAAGAAAAACCTTACAAAAATGCTTTCAACCCAAGATATTTTGCATTCCACTGCCAGGTTTTATACATTGGGCTTGTGAAGCTCAACATTTCTTGAGTTGTTAGACATCACCCAAAATCAGATCATATGAGTAAGGTGTCACCACGTATGGCCTGAGCTTGTGCCTGCTGAATCTAACATGAGCTGAGCTAATGGAAGTTGCCTTATCTCCATTTTTTCATCCTAACACCAAATGACTGCATTAGGAATCTGCCCAAGATAAAAAAGTGTGAAATATGCCTTCTAATTTATAATGCAGATTTTTGCATAACAGGATCAAAACTGTTATCCTGTTGTGAATGCAACATCAGAGTAAAATAACAAGCACTTTACCAGTTAATATGCAAGCTAATCTGACAAAAGCACTTTTACATTCATTTACAGAGTGACTATCACCCTAAAAAACTCCTGGGAGATAAATGAAACAAACCAAAACAAAATAAAACTTTAATCATTTCCATAACAAAAATTAAACAACTGTGGCATACATAGTAAGGTTTGGAAGGAAGAAGAAAAGGAAAAGGGGATAAAGAAAGAAAGATGGCACAAAAAACCCCAAAATACAACAAAAGAAAACAAAACACTAAAATTCAACAAAGACCGTTGTGTCAAGAAAACAATGGTGAAAAATTGCTCATTTCTCCAGAGAACAATTGTAATGAGAATGAGAAACTGGTACTGAACCAATTCTCTTCTCAATCTTCAGATCTTAATCATGTGATCCTCTTAGGATGCCAGAATCTAGTTTTCCTAAAGGCCTGTATAAGCATGTTCAGTGGAAAAATCTATCTACCAGCAGGTGTCTTTTAACTTTATTTTGTCATCAGCATCAAATAAAGATGAGAAGAATGTCATGAATTAGTTGATGAGTGTTAGGAAAGCAGGTGAAAGGCAGGAGGATTGTGTCACAGTGAGGTTTCCAGCTTATCCACAGGCTGCAGCATTTAATTAGGGACTTGGCCCAACCCTTGTTGGGGGGAAACTGCTCATTCAAAGCACATCTTAATAAAAAATATGACCAAAGATTAAATTGTGTATAGAGAACTTTGAATTTGGGATGCAACATTAAGTCATAATGAGCTTAATGAATTAATTGCATGAAGGTCTGCAATAGGTAACTAAGAATATAACTGATGAGTTACAAAGCAAATAATTTAGCTTGTAGGATCAGGTCATTCTGATTATTTTCAGGACGAGGAGGGTGGATCTGCCCAGAAAATTCTGGGGCATTTTTCCTTGGTGAGGGAAATAGAGGGCAATCGACAATTTTTTTTGTCCATTTTTCCAGCAGAAGGAGAAAGAAAAACCATATTATTTTCCTTTTTTTTTGCAGAACTTAGGACTATTCCTCTCTATCTCCTCATTCCAGTGGCAAGCTGGATACATTCATTGAGAATGTGAATCAATGAGGTGGATTTAAACACAATATTTATTTTGGCTAATGACACAAAAAGCAACTATATTCCATATAAAAGTTGTAATGATTGTTATACCAGAAAAAAGGCCTGGGAATATAAACAATATATATATAAAAAGGAGATGGCAGGACATAAATATATAACTGAAACCATTCTGCCAAGTGTAACAGCAGGATAGAGCAGCTTCCTGCACAAATTGTTTCAAACTAGAGAAGTGTAAGGGTAAGGCTGTTTTATTCTAGAAAGAAGAATATTTTCAGTGGGTACTGGATAGCTTGGATTTGAGAGGACTGAAGGGTTTAAAAATGAGAATAAAATCTGTATGTTATCATGCCACCATAAAATAAAAGATGAGAATAGCCATGTTTGAATGGCTGTGGTGGTAAGCTCATGATCAGCAGGGTGCAGTTGTAGAAGCAGGAGAAGGTAAAGGTTTTTCCACCCCCCTCACTGGCCCTATCCTTGAAAATATTGGTTGGCAAATGTGGTGTGCTGCTCAGTTCCCAGGAAAACTTGATCACCATTAACATATGCAAAGCAGCTGCAAAGCCAATAACAGCAGAATGAAGGCTTTCCTTAAAAACACTTTTAATAAAGACATTTCTGCTCCAACCACCACTTTGCATAAATATCCTTGGTCCTCTGGGGTATTTCTTGTGCTGGAGAGTGGCCAGTGCTGGGGAGCCTGGTGGGTGGGGGTGGGTTTGCTCCTGAATGTGATCAATGAACTCAATTACGACCCCATTCCAGAGAGTTCCAGCCTGAGTTTGCAGTGATGCATAGTGCCCACCATCCCTGACACTGCTCCCAAAATCTCTTCAATAAATAAGAGGATACAGGAGAGCTCTGACTTAGTTTCTTTTTATTTTCTTTTTTTTTTTTTTTTTTTTTTTTTTTTTTTTTTTTAACAGCTCTTCTGGGTCCCCAGTTGATTTTCTTCGCAAGGTTAGTTGCTAATACATTCCTAGCACCCATGCATTATTAATGCTCACCGCTCTCCAAGGTGGCAGTGACAAATAGGGAGCAAAATTCACTGACTAGTGGGGAATGTACTTTTTAGTCATGCTTGAATTTTTCAATCCATTCTGCTTGTTGAGGATTTTTCAGTGGAGGTACTGTAGCAAAATATGATTTTTTTTTTTTTCCTTCAAACCTAAGAAGCACTCTAGTAACCAGTGGAAAGCTTATGAGTCAGGGCTTTTCCCAGGAGGTTTTGAGGGGGAGTAGTGCAAAAACTACCTTTGATGTTTGCAGTAGCATGGAAGTCATTGTTTTTCCTCCCATGTAGTAAGTGGCAGTTTTGACTGCAAATCGACTATGCATGCAGTCAAGTAAATTATAATATTTTAACTAGGCTGTGCATGCCAGCTGTAGCATTCCCAGAAATAATACCAAGTGTGTATCATGAGCAACATTGATTTTTAATGTGCAGATTTGTTTCTTCAGATATAAAACTCTATTAATTTTGCAATATAAAGAAGCAATCTGTGAAATACATTCTTAGACTGTTATTGGTTACTATAAATCCCACTAGTAGTACTAGCACACTTGTTTAATTCAGAATTACTTCATTTAAAGTATGATTTTGTGCATGTGGTGGAGGTGCTGGAGATTTGGCAAAGACCTCTTTAACATAACAAATAGCTGACAGTAAATATTAGGCTAATTCTTCCTAACGTTTAATAGAGGGATAACTCACTGGGCAGAATAATGAATTCCTTGCTAATGGCTGTACATAGGGGATTAACACCTTCATGCAGCCATCCACAAATACACTGAAAATATGAATGTTATCTATTTTGGAAGCTCTTGATATGGGTTCAGTTCTGAACCACAGGCAGCTTTGAGCAAGATTTGCTTTAGGGTTTTGAGGGACCCTAAATCAAGAAGATAATTTCCATTGTGTCTTGTTCAAATGTTTTAGCTCTCCAGTCAAGAGCCAAGGAAGGCACAATGTAATGCAGAGCCCACAGGACAAGTTTTCATACAGTCACAGAATGGCTTGGATTGAAAATCCATCTTGTCTCAACCCTCTGCCATGGGCAGGGACACCTCCCACTGTCCCACATTGCTCCAAGTCCCATCCAACCTGGCCTTGGACACTTCCAGGGATCCAGGGGCTTCTCTGGGAAACCTGTGCCAGGGCCTGCCCACCCTCACAGCCAAGAAATTCTTCCTCATATCCAACCTAGACCTGCCCTGTCTCACTTGGAAGTCATTCCCTAGAGCTGTCACTCTAGTTCCTTGTAAATTGTCTCTCCTCACCTTTCCTGTTGGCTCCCTTCAGGTCCTGGAAGGTGCAGTTAAGTCATTTCAAAGCCACCTCTTTTCCAGGATGAACAATCCCAATTGTCCCAGCCTTTCCTCCCAGCAGAGCTGTTCCATCCCTCTGGTCGTCCTGGTGCCTCTGGACTCTCTCCAGCAGGTTGTTTTCCTTCCTGTGTTGGGGTCCCCAGAGCTGGATACAGTACTCAGAGTGGGCTGGCACCAGGGAAGGGGAAGAGGGGCAGAATCACCTCCTTTTCAGCCCCTCAACAACTGTGTGGCTTTTTACACCAGAAAAACTTTTAACTGGACGGGATTGAAATAGAAGAGCAACTCAGTAAAACCTGACATTCTGTAGTATTTGGCCAGATACACCATGTGAAGATCAGAATTCTTTTTTTTTTTGCTCTTTGATAAATGGAATATAAGAATTTACCAATCTTAGTGGTTCCTTCTCTTCCCTCCTCACCTGCAGTCTGGTTTGCAGACTGACTTTCCCAGCTTCTGTGCTAGCCTAAAACTGGCACTTGATTTATACGTGCAACCTGAATAAAAATAATGATTTGGGAATGAACAGCAGGTCCAGGGCCCTCAATGATGCACTTGAGGCTTGGAGTTTGTTATCTGAGCCTCTGCACCTACACTGAGGGCAGCAGCTGTGGGTTCATGCAAAGGAAAAGCTGTTCTGGTGGAAGTGGGAGCTGAAATAATGTCACTGAGCAGGATGCATGGGGAACTGGAGACCAGTAATTCAGAAATAAGAGCTGGAAAGGGTTATAATCTTTAACACTGGTTCACAAAGATAAAAATGTGAAAAACATGATGTTCTGCTATTCTTGCACATCAACCTAAACACAAACACGTCCTTATATCTTCTGCAAAGGCTTTTTTCACAGGGGATTTGTTTCCTGTGCTCGGAGAGTTTCCCACATTCCTCATTAGAGCTGTGTTCCTCCTGCATTTTCCACTCTCCCAGCTTCCACGCTGTCTGTCATCCCCACTCTGGCACTCTTCCCACCCTGTGACATCCTGGCAGGGCAGCAGTGACCTTGTGGGGAACCACAGCACGTGGGTGAGGCTGTGAGGATGCATCAGGAGACACAAAACACAGGGAGGACAATAGTAACCATGGAGGATGTTCTTGATTTCTGTATGGAATGGGGGGGGATTCCTGTACCTGCCTGAAAAGTAGTGTGGCTTTAAGATTTTCACTAAGTCTGGTGCCTTTTTTGTTCTTTTTCTTCTCATATATTCAGTGTAAAGCCACTGTCATGTTGAAACACAATTTTGGGGACAGTGACAGTTCATCCTTTCCAATCGCGATCCTGAAGAAACAACTAAAACCTGCCAAAGCAAAATAAGCATCAGTATTTTGGTGAGCTAGGTGGCACAGGGGCTGATGTGAAACATAAATAAATAATAGGGAGAGGAGAGGAAAAGGCAAAGTGAGAGCAGGAAGTGGAGATGACGGAGAACAAACGCATGGAAATGAGGGGGGATATCTCGGGGAACATCATATTAGAAAGGGATGGAAGTGTCAGAAAGGAACCAGAGAGCAGCAGATTGGCTTAAAAAAAAAAAAAAAAAAAAAAGCAACAACAAAAACAACAAAACGTGTGTTCAGGAGATGTTGATGGAATCCATCCAACATCTGAACGACTCAATGAATAGCAGACTGTTGAAACTAGATGAGACGCTAACTAATTTAGTTCAGGCTGTCAATAATTGAAATCAGAATGTTGCTGTATTTAATGCTAATATGAAGACTCTGATTTCAGAAGCTTAAGGTTTTAAGAAGCTGGGATGAATCTGTGCCATCATTTTCCAGTTGTTATTGTCAGGGAATTGTTGAAAGAAAAGTTATCAATTCAATGTTAGAGCTCTGTATGATTTTTAATATTTAAAGATGCTACTTGCATTTTTAAGCATGACCTATATTATCTGCTTCAGAGGGTGCTGTGTGGTGGGAAAGGGCACAGTTTAATTCTGTGATAGACTGATATGAGAGGTATAGTTGCTCCAACTCCTCAATTCCATCACTTGCTGGTATGAGGAGAAATAAAATTCAAAGTCCTGTCTTTGGCAAAGTCCCTTGCTGCTCCCTTCCAATCTGCAGTGTCAGAAAACTCAGATACTTAACGAATCTTCTCATGTCTGTTGGCTTCATTTAGCAAACGTCTGTTCAGTTATCATGGATTAAAGGGAAATATTTATTAAAAAAAAAATTACTCATTTTGGAGATACAGCAAATATGAGTTAAAGAGAATTTCAAAGAGGGATTTTTTTTTTTAATTGTAATTTATGTTACAGGGACATGAAGTAATGTAACAGCAACAGAAAACAGTTTGTGGATGAGAGGTTTTAAAATCGGGGGGAGAAAATTTCCCCCAGGATAAATAACTACCAGTAAAGAATAAAAAGTAGACAGAAAACTTATTTAAGCCTCCGAGATATATGAGTAGTAAGCATAGAAAAATTAGTGTCCAGCAGTGAGCATTACCCTGCCAATTCAGCTCAAATCTAGGATTCCAATTATTCTATGAATCTAAGAATTCTTTGATTCTGTGAATCACAGTGTAATTTTAAGGTATTGCTGTCAGTGTCCTTCACCATATATGAATTCTCCCAATAATTCTTCCAAGGCATGAATCTAATTTCCTTTTCATGCCCATTAAATCTGAATTAAGAAGATGCCATAAGATATCACAGGTATAGATCAAACACAGAAAGAAAATACTGAAAGTAGAAAGCACGGAGGGAAGGAACAAACAAGGTGACAAGGCCTTGATGCATTGGAAAACTTTTTTTTTATGATTTTTGGACCATCTCACATGGCTCAACCATCCATTCTCCAGACCCACTGGGCTATGACAGATCCCTGAGCAGCTGGAGCCTGGTGGGAATTTCTGGCCTGATGAAGTCAGCTTTTTTAGGGGTTTTTTCTTACCTTGTAGGGAAATGTTCCACCCTCAGGTTTGCTCCCAGTTGGATGTCACATTTCCCAGCATAAAGTCAGGATCTGAATGTGCAGCAGATTTTTTTGATTTATATGGAGCTGCATGGATGTGTGTGGAGTTCATTAAAAGATCTGGAGGGCTAAAACATTTGAACAAGACAATGGAAGTTGGAGAATGGAAGTTATGTGGAAATGAAGAGCTGAAAAGCAAAAAAAAAAAAAAAAGAGATCCCATTTCTGTTTATTTTCCTTGTTTTCAGAGTTGTGAGCTGCTGCTTTTGTCTTTCCTCTCCTCCAATGTCCAATGCATTCCATGAAAATAATGTTTTATGTCCCCAGTACTTATTGCTTTCAGTGCTTATTTTTCCATGTGTTTTCTGTGGGATCTCCCAGTGCTGATATTTTTCCAAGGTGTGCTACGAGCACACCGGGAGGGGACGGAGCCTCCCTGGGAGCTGCAGCTCTGTTATAACTCATTCCTCTGGACACAACACGGGCAGGGGAAAGAAATAAAAAAATAGATATCCTCTGGAAAAACACAAAATGTGTTCAGTGCTTCCAGTTCTTCGTGGTGTGTCCCAGTGGGACCTGCTGTCACATTCCATATGCCAGGAATTTGGATGGTCTGCCTGGTGCCCAATGCCATGGGGGTTCCTCATGCTTCGTGTCACTCACAGTTCATTTGGAAGATCCAGGGTGCAGACTGCCTTTTTTTTTTTTTTTTTTTTCCCTAAAATTTCTTTTAGTGTATGAAAGCCTGATGTGTGTTTTCTTCCAGGTAAATCAGTAATTTATAGAGATAAATAACATCTTAAGCCGAGATGTGTCCAGGTTTAGCCCGTGAGTCAAGCTCCTGACAAAGCCTCGCTAAGAAATGTGGGTTACAATGACAGGATGAGGAAAACCCCAGATCCAAACCAGGCTGACTCACAGGCACAGGAACACAACCCCTTTCTAGAAGACCTTATTTGTATAAGAGGTGAGAGTTTAGAGGCACAAAAGTCCCCCAGAAGACAAAACAAACCGAGGGAGGACAGGCAAAGCCCAGCTACGGTCAGCAGTAAATACATCCTCTCACTTCCCGGAGAGTTTTGTTTCTTTCTGGTTTTCCTTCTGTTGCTCTGGCCTAATCTCTGTTATGAAGAGCAATTTATCTTCCTCCCTCTGTCTTCATCCCATCGGGGGACAGGTGAAGGAGCTGCATTTCCAAAGGCAGCAGTGATGCGCACCACGGATCATAGGGCACGACCTCCTCCCAGCTTGGAATTTCTCATTTTTACCAGCACATCCAGAGCTGCAGCCTTATTTTTCAAAGGCACTTTATGGTACGCATACAATCATTTAAGCAATTTATGCTTAATTCAGTTTTACACTGACAAATCTCTTGAAATCCTTTGTATCCATATATCAAAACAAGCTGCCAAAAAAAAAAAAAAAAATCTATACTATCAGCCAAAAAAATGTTATAGCTTCTAGTAGAAGATAATGTTTTATCCTCCAGAATTCCTGCAGTAAAAAAATTTCGAATGCTAGTCTATTAATGGTCAGATTAAAAACTAAAATGGTATGGATTATTAATAACTTTTTTAAAGCATTGTTTTCTTCCTTCTTTTTTTTTTAAGGTAGTAGTTTTTCTTACCAAACACTGAAAAATTGCTACTTCTCAGACTCATCTGTTGTAGGTAGGACTTTATATCTCTCTGTATTTGTCAAGTTTTATTGAGCTGTTGTATTTTGATAGTTAAAATACCACATGGTCAGACATAATTTTCAAAGTTATATTATTTGCAAAACAGGGACCATCAGTTCTCTCTTGCCTCATCTTAACATTTTTTATTGAAGGCAAAACTAGTTATGAATGGAATGTTGTTATAAAATTTCAAGTACCCAGATTAAACTCTAACACCTTACTGCTGTTTCTAGAGGGGAAAAATAATTCTTGAATGCTTCTTCAGTGTTCAGGTAACACAAACTTGTGTGGGTGCCTGGAGTGTGCGAGCTGGTCGTGGTGAATCCAAATTAAATTTCCATTTATGCCTCACAAAACTTAGTGAAGACAAAAGACATGTTAACACGGGCCAGAAATCTGGCAGGCCAAGTTCCACCCGGGGGATATTTTTTTCAGATGTGGAATACACTCCTGCAAACCAGGATTTATAGCAGAAATGCTGACAGA